CCTGTGGAGGTGGCCGAGGCTGTGGATAAAAGCCATGCCGCATGCAACGTCCTGCATAAACGCCACTTTCAAGTCCCAGGCATCCATCCCTTCCCGTGCGCTGGTAAGCGACACGTGGACATCATTGTCCTTGTCCTCGGCAGCCGAGGTGAGCTCCACGTCCAACCACGCGCTGCCCGCGCGATTGCGCTCGCTCGCTACGGATTGGCGCGCCTCCCCGCTCCTGCGAAGGGCGCCGTTCACGGCATCCACGAAGCTGTCGTGGCCCTCACTGCAAATCAGGTCGTGCAAGGACCCGAGGGCCACGTACTCCAAAACGAGGAACGGGCTTCCGTCCAGGGACCGGCGCCCAGCTCCGAAAAACCGGACCAGATTCGGGTGGCGCGTGCGCTGCAGAAAATCGACCTCCTTCTGGAACTCCTGCAGGCTCTCTGCGAGCTGGATCTGGTCACTCTTGAGCACCTTCACGGCAACAACCAGTGTGTCCCAGCGCGCCTTCCACACGTCACCGGCAGCGGTGTCGGCGCTGATGCAGGTGAGAAAGTCGAGCTCGTCCTCGGGGATGTCCCACGCGCGCTTCAGCTCAAACACCTCTTCCTCTCGCTCCTCCAACAGGCGCTGGTTCAAGTCGCGGTCCTTCTTCAGCCGACGGATGCGCTTCACGTGGCACTCGTAGTACCCAATGACCGCCACGTTCGTCAGCACGACAGCAAGCACGATGCCGGCAATGGCGCCCGGTGAGAGAGACTTGCCCCGCCTGACGCAGTGGCCTTCCGAGGCCTTGCGGTGGTCGCGTGCACACGCGCAGTCGTACGTGAAGAAGAGAGCGGTGTCCTGGCCCACCCACGTCGTGGCGCTGAGCTGCTTCCCCAACACTGTCTTCAGGGAACATGTGACCGGCATGTTGTCGGTGAGGAGCGTGGTGACCACCTGGGTCTGCTTGCCCTCGGCAGGGTTCCTGCCAAACGTCGCCTCGCCACTGTCCACGCCGATGCGGAACGTGCTCACGGCATTGCTCAGCGTCTTCGGGTCGATAATCTGGTTGTTGGAGATGTCAATGAGGTTCGCTCTGCCCATGCACTTGCTGACAATGTCGTAAAACGACTCGATGCCGCTTCTGATGCGCACGTTGTTCATGAACAGGCGGCTTGTGCCAATTGTCGTGCACAGCTCACGCGACCACTCGCCAACGGTGGAGTTGGTGACATCGAGCGTGTGCACCAGGGGCGCCTTGAGCATGTCTAGCTGTGGACACCTGGACACGTCCAGAATGTCGGCGTCAAACTCCAGTGTGACGGCTCTCAGGGTCGGGCTGCGTGCCAGCAGCACGTTGTCAAAGTCCACGCTAAACGCAGGTGGGCACAACTCTACCGTGGAGAGGGATGTGTTGAGGAGGGCGAGGTTCTCCACCTCCGAGCTCAGCACACTGCACATGTGGGTGATGTTGAATGTGTGGTCGGTGAAATCGGGCCCTGTGAGGCGCAGCGACACCAGCCCCTGCGAGGAAGGCACAAGCTTGCGCAAAATGTTGGGTGGTGCGACCATGTTGTCCAGGGACAGCACTTCCAGGCTCGGCAGGTGCACTGGCGCCTCGGGCACCCTGACTGTGGAGTGCATGAAGCTGTCAGTGGACAAATCGAGAAGCTGAAGCCGCGCGTTGTTGCGGAAGGCCTCGAGTTCAACAACAGGGAGGGCGTGGTTGGTGAGGAACAAGGCTGTGAGGTTTGGCATGCTGCTCACTTCGGGCATGCGTGTCAGGGAGACGTTGTACAGGCCGAGGTTCTCCAGATGCGGAAGGCGGAAAGGAAACGTCTTGAGCTGGCTGGAGTCCAGCGCAAGCTCAACCAGCGGCAGCTGCACGTTTTCCCCTGAGAGATCGGGGATTGAGGCTTCATGGATGCGCTCGTTGTTGTTGACCCAGAGCAGGCGCAGGCGCGGTGTGTGGGTAAGCGTACCGCTGGCAATGTGCGTGATGTCGTTGTGGTCAAGGAACAGCTGCTCCAGAGCAGAGAGGCCGGCAAGTGCGTCGCTGCCGACGTTGACGAGCCTGTTATGGTTGAGCCTTACGGTGTTGAGCGTCGTCAGCGCGTCCATGGCGTTGGGTGGGAGGGTGGTGATCTGGTTAAACCCCAGGTTCAACGTGTGGAGCGAGGGCAGGCGGTCGTGGGTGAGGGCCTGTGGAAGCTGGGTGAAGCTGTTGCTGCTCACGTCCAACCACCCCAGACGAGCCAAAGGCGTGAGGACACCGGGGCTGAGCTGCCGGAACGCATTGCTTGCAAGCACAAGCACCTGCAGGCGTGACAGGCCCTCGAACACGCGGGTGTCAAGGGATGTCAGCCCATTGCTGCGGAGGTCGATGCTGAACAGCTCCTGCAGCGTGTTGAAGGCCGCGTGGTGCACGGCTGTGATTCGGTTACGATCCAACAGCAGCACCTCCAGGTTTGACAAGCCTTTGAACACGTCTTCTGGGATAACGGAGATGCGGTTCCCGCCCAGGTTGAGCCGCCAGCACGACGCCAGGCCCACAAACACGCTGTGGTCCACGCGGTGAATGCGGTTGTCCGTGAGGTCCAGCGTTTGAAGGCGTGAGAGGTTGGCGAATGTCTGGGGCTCAATGGCGAGGATGGCATTTTCCTGCAAGGAGACGGCGCTGAGCGCTTCCAAGCCCACAAACTGCACGGCGGAGAGGTGCGCGATACCGTTGCCAACGAGGTTGATCTTGCGAAGCGCAGTGAGGCTGTGGAACAGCGTGGGTGCGACGCTGTCGATGCCACACCGTGATAGGACAATGTCGGTGAGGGCGCCGGCAAAGGAGTATGGCTCTGTGACGTTTGGGACGGGGCGAAAATGCGTGCGCTTGAGTGTGTTGAGTCGCAGGTCACGCCCGCGAACTTCAGAGAGGTTGGGCATTGAGTTGAGCCATGTGAAGTCAAATCCACCGCGCGTTTCGAGCCAGTTGAGCTCCAGCACGCGCACGCTCTGCCATGCCTTGGCGGCAAAGAGCTGGCTCAGGGCCCACGACGGCACGGGCTCCGGCACGCGCTGCCAGCCGCGAATGGAGAGGCGCTCGAGGAGTGGCAGGCTTCGATCTAGGCTTGAGGTGTCGAGCGTTTGGGTCTGCAGAGCGTCCCTCAGGTCCAGGTTTACATCAATGGTGATCTCGAGGAAAGTGGTTTCAGTGGCAGAGAGCACACACACGCCATCCAGGAGGTCAGCGAGGGCGCAATTCGTGTCGATGGTGCGGTTGTCGTGGTGTGGGCGTGGGTCAACGTTGCGACTGGGCCCAGAAGAAGAGCCGGGACCAGGGCGGTTGTTATCACTGTTGTTGCTGTTGTTGTTGTTATTGCTGTCGTTGTTGTTGGACAGGGCATGGGCGTCTCGGCGGATGCGTGCGCGGCGTTCCTGCGGCAACAGCGGTGCTGGGGTTGGTCGTCCCTGAGACCGTAGGCGTGAGCTGAAGCGATCATGATGACTGGAGAGGTACCGTTTTGTGCTCTCAGTAGTTTCGTGGTTGACGGTGGTGGCGGCGTTCTTGGTGGGGGCATTGTCAACGACAGCAATGACAGGCGCATTTGTGGGGGTGTTGTCATTGGCGTGGTTCGTGCTGCCGGTGATGTGCTGATGGCTGCGGCGAGTATCGAAGTGAACATCATTATCGCTGTCATTGTTTGCGTTTCCAGGACGATTGCTGGGGCTGGTATTGGGTTTGTTGTACGGTTGTTGGTGTTGTTGATGTTGCGTCCTGCGATACAGGTGTTGCTGTTCGGCACAGAGGTGGGCAACCGCCTGTTGGAGGGGTAGAAGGTCAAGTGTCGTCAGCAGTGCAGCAGCAGTGGTACTACTAGCATTGGGCTTTCCTCTCGAGAAGTATGTGCCGGACCCCCGCACCTCCGCTGATGCCTGTTTCCTGATGTCGTGCAGCTGGGCGAGCGACGTCCGTGCTTGCAGGCACAAGTGATCGAGCACTTGAACTTGAGCAGCAGGAAGAACAGCGCTGCTGCCAGCAGCACACCACAAGGACAACAACAGCAAGCACACGCTCAGCAAACAAAGCGGCGCCACCTTCATGTTCTTGGTTTTGTGCTGTTTGGTAATGCAGCACTGATTTCAGTCGTTGCTGTCACGAAGAAGGACGCTGCTTGTTGCTTGTTTGTTGTTGCACTGAAGGCTTGGGAGTGGCATGCACTGGCGCAAGCTCGCAACGACGACCACAGGTTGTGCGTGTGTGTGTGTGTGTGTGTGTGTCTGTGTGTGTCTGTGTGTGTGTGTCTGTGTGTGTCTGTGTCTGTGTCTGTGTGTCTGTGTGTGTCTGTGTGTCTGTGTCTGTGTGTGTCTGTGTCTGTGTGCTTGAGTTTGCAGAACTACCTCTCTCTCTCTCTGTGCATGTGTGTGTGCGTGTGTTATGTTATTGTCGACGCCCGCGAAACCTTATGACTCGTGCATTTTCATCCAACCACACACACACACACACGCACGCACGCACGCACGCACGCACGCACACACACGCGCGCGCGCGCGCAGGGTTCTTGGTCGGGTACGCTGCAGCAAGGAAGCTTTGGCTGTCAACCATGTCTGGAACACCGCGCTTTGGTTGGTGTTGAAGGGTTAACGGGATGATGGTCGCCAAACCAGCACAGGCTCTGTGTGTGTGTGTGTAATTGCCTGCACAGCTTGTTTTGGTTGTTGTTGACGTTGTTTGTGCGTGTTGATTGGTTGATAGACGTCAAGGCCTTTCACGACCAGCTGACGACATCGTCACTTGGACGAAGCCTCCTCTATGAAGAGCAGGTCCGTGTGCTTGTGTGTGTGCTTGTGTGTGTGTGTGTGTGTGTGTGTGTGTGTGTGTTTGCTTGTATTTGTGTGTGAGTGTGTGCAATTGTGTGTGTGTGTGTGTGCAACCACGCGTGTATTTGTGCTGGTGCTACCATGGCGCATGGAGAACAGTCCTGGCTCATGTGCCATGCTTCCATCTGTCGCAGATGACTTCAACCATGACGGTGGCCCAGGAGGTGCTCAAAACTGAAGGCCGCGCCGCTCACGGCAAAGGTGGGCTATGCATGCAGGATTGTGTGTGTGTGTGTGTGTGTGTGTGTGTGTGTGTGTGTGTGTGTGTGTGTGTGTGTGTGTGTGTGTGTGTGTGTGTGTAAAGCCGCGCGCGTGCATTTTTACTGGGCACGTGTGCTCCGTGCTGTTCACCAGTGTCAGACACATTCCAGAAGTCGCACACATCCACGCACGTACACACGCTGAACATTCAGCACATACGCATTCTAACACACACTCACACACTGGGTGCAGGCTTCCTGTGTGAGGAGCAGACGGCTGGCATTGGGCGGCGAGGTCGCGACTGGAGAAGCGCAGCCAACGGCAACATCTACTTCTCCTTCATCTGGGCACCAACAACCGACACGACAAAGGAGCTCATGTCAAGTACGGAGAAAGCACATGGTGCTTGAGAACCTTCACGGATGGCTGCGTGATCAGGCTGTCTGTTCATGGTTCCCTTTGCCGCAACTCACAACAGTGCAACGCGCACGCACGCTGAAGCGCAAATGTGCTCCCAAAAAGCACACAGACACACACACAGACACACACACACGAATGTGTGTGCGCTCATGTCGTACACATACAAGCACACGCGCGCGCTCATGTACGTCCCCATACGTTGTTCCAGGCATGTTCAAGCTCAACTTTGCCATCAGCATCGCCACCGTGAAAGCAGCACAGGCCGTCGGAGTTGAGACAGCACGGTGTGCTATTATTTTGCTGTGTGGAGTGAATGTCCAGGGATGTTGCTGGGACTGCTGAATGAAAGAAGTCACCGTGCTCAGCACTTGGCAGGGCACGTCCGACACACAACGCACTTGCCCTCACCCTGACTCACCCACCCACGCACAATGCACACACACACACACGCACACACACACACACACGCGCGCGCGCACTTGCCCTCACCTCGACACATCAGCATCAAGTGGCCGAACGACGTGTGGATTGGGACGCGCAAACTGAGCGGCATGCTGGTGAACTTTGACGGCAAGACAGGCGGCGTTGCCGGTGTTGGCATCAACGTCAACGAGGTGTTTGACACAACGGACGCGCAGTTGCCCGCCGTCAGCCTTGCGCAGGAGAGCGGCGAGGAAGTGGCAAGAGAGACTGTACTTGCAGCCTTTTGCAACAGCCTCGAACACATCATGACCCTCCCAATGCACGAAGTGTGTGTCTGCGTCCGTGTCTGTGTGCCTGTCTCTCTGTCTGTGTGTGTGTGTGTGCGTGTGTGTATGTGTGTCTGCGGGTTTTGTATATCTGTGTGCCTGTCTGTTTGTGTGTCGGTATGTACATGCACATGCTTGTTTGGCTCAGCACTCTCTCACGTTTGTGCATGTGTTGGTCACGCGAAGGTGCTGAACCTCTATGCAGAGCACGATATGCTGAAAGGCCGCACCGTTCGCGTCTACCACCGCGCGCGTGGGGTGAGCACTCTCTCTGCGAACGTGTGCATGAACACTTGCGTGCGGCCGCAATGAGATGTTTGGGTATGCTCATGTGACATTACACATGGTGTGTGCGTGTATGAATGCAACAACCCGTGTCGTTCACAGGAGGATGATGAGAAAGACTACGACGCCCAAGTCCTTGGATTTACCCCAAGTGGCAACCTCCTCGTGAAGAAATGCCAGGGTGGCGAGCAGGTTGCCCTTTCAGGTACATATTTCTCGCCTTGTTTTGTGTGTGTGCCCGCGCGTGTGAGCATGTGTGTGTGTGTGTGCGTGTGTGTGTGTGTGTGTGTGTGTGTGTGTGTGTGTGTGTGTGTGTGTGTGTGTGTGTGTGTGTGTGTGTGTGTGTGTGTGTGAGCATGTGTGAGCGCGTGTCAAGAATGCAATTAGTGTTTGTTCACACTCGTTTGTGTAACTATCTCGCACATCGCGTCACATCGCGCCACTTCAGGGGAGGAGATTTCTGTGCGGCCGCAGGCGTCGGCAGAGTAGAGGGATGCATGTGCCAGCAAACACAGCAGACAGGGTGAGCGGTTGCTGCAATTCCCCGCGCTGACCAGGACCTGCGCAACAACTAGTCGGGCCTCCAGAATGGACGAGTTTGCACTTCTCGTTGACACGCGCGCGCGCACACACACACACACACACACACACACACTCACACACACACACACACACACACACACACACACTCACTCACACACACACACACACACACACACACACACACACATTCGCAACAAGCCATGTATCACGCCACGCGACACGTCATCAGTCGTGAATGTCTCTATGCAAGATGTGTGAACATTGCCACTCGTTTCTGAGGCAATAAACCCAAGAATGAGAAAACATGACATCATACCACGTCCCTTTGTCTACGTGTATGTTGCAAAAAAAACATACATAGAAACAGATACTTGCCGAGTTGTCAACATCATTCACGGGCAGTGTAGGGTCGTGCACTTGCCCACGTTGACCATTTACTTCGCCGCCACCTTTCACCCCTTCTATCACCACCATCTCCTTTCTTTGTGTACATTCCCTGCCCAAGCTGAACAAACGCCAAAGCACCAGTATGAGCCCTTCTTGGACTGTGGTGAGGATTGGCAGCTCACGCAATGCCGTCGCGCCGATGGATGCGCCTGTCCGTTCGAGGACGAGCCAGAAATTGTGCAGCTCGCCGGTGCTCGTTGGCGCCCTGGCGTTGCCGCGCTTGTGGTGATTGCCAGCATCACGACAGGCGTGTACTATGGCACGCGCTCCTCCTCCTCATCATCGTCCAGCGGTGGGGCAGGAAACGGGGCGACTAACGCGACATCAACCACAGTGTCCTCGTCCAACATCACCACAACCACGACCACGACGACGACAACAACTACCACCACCACCACTACGACCACTACGACGACAACAACAACGAACGGACCAATCACGGCCGATACAACGTCCATTGGTGGCCTGTCCAGTGATCAGTGGAAGTGGATCAACGGGGTCTACGCCAATGACCTTGTTTTCGGCATCCCCATGTCCGCGCAGGAGGTGCTTATCGTTGACCCTGCCACAAACACCGCCGACACAACCAGCATTACTGGCGTTGGCACGGCCGCTTACAAGTGGCAGAGTGGGACTCTTGCGAACAACGGCCTCATTTATTGCGCGCCATACAACCACCCCAGCCCATCCCCCGTGCTGATCATCGACCCCGTTGCTAAGACGTTCGACACCACAACCATCACCAACTTGTACCACACGTACAACATGTGGATGGACACAGTTCTCGCTGACAACGGGCTCATTGTTGGCATTCCTGGCAATGCGGCACATGTGCTGCTGATTGACCCCGCCACGAACACGGCGGACACCACATCCATCACCGGCATGCCCAACAATGGCCAAGAGGAGTGGGGCGCTGGTGTGTCAGCCGACAACGGTCTCATCTACGCTGTGCCCGGACGCAACCCCAATGTGCTCATCATTGACCCCGTGGCCAAGACGGCTGACACCACGTCCATTGCCAACGTCAACAGCGGTACATACGCGTACTATGGCGCTGTGCTTGCCCCCAACGGGCTCGTCTTTGGCATCCCGCGTACCGCCACCTCTGTTCTCATCATCGACCCTACGACGAACACCGTCGACAAGACTTCCATCACTTTCACAAGCACGAGCTCCAAGTGGGTTGGTGGGGTGCTTGCACCCAGCGGCCTCATCTATGGCATCCCGAGCGACAGCACCGACGTCCTGATCATTGACCCCGACACCAAGGCCATTGACCGCACGACCATCACCGGCCTTCCAGCCGACGCCAACAAGTGGTGGGGCGGCGTGCTGGGACCCAATGGCTCCTAAAACGGTATTCCCCAAAGATGCAGAGCGTGCTTGTCATCGATGCCTGAGTCGTTTCACTGGTCCGGTAGACGTGTGTGTGTGTGTGTGTGTGTGTGTGTGTGTGTGTGTGTGTGTGTGTGTGTGTGTGTGTGTGCGAGCTTACCTGATGGGTCAATTGTTGTTCTTTGGGTTGGTGTGACAATGAGTGATGTATGCGACAATTAAACTTCTCAGCGCTTTCAGCAGCGCCTGTGACGGCGACGGAGGGAGGAGGAGGAGGAGGAGCTGAGGAGGAGGAGGAGCAGCAGCAGCAGCAGCAGCGGAGATTGCTTGCTCCTTTGCTCTGGCCGCCTGGATTAGGACACGGCAGGATCAGCATCAGGCCTGCAGGCTTCGTTTCGTGCTGCAACGAACGAGAGCACATCGCAACATCGCAACATCGCGACACGCTCGAGTGCACTTGAAATGCGCTGGGGTTTTGGTGACGATGTCGAGAGCCGTTATGAATGGTGGTGCTGATGATGATGAGGATGAGGATGATGGTGCTGTGACCGTGCCGGTGGAGACTGCGCTGGACAGGTTCTTGTCTGATGTGCATGTGGGTACCCAGGTCAAAGACACAACTGCGTCGCGACACAGTGAGCGCTCTGTCTGCGCGCGCGCGCGCGCGTGTGTGTGTGCGTATGTGTGTGTGTGTGTGTGTGTGTGTGTGTGTGTGCGTGTGTGTGTGTGTGCGTGTGAGTGAGTGAGTGAGTGAGTGAGTGAGTGAGTGACTGAGTGAGTGAGTGACTGAGTGAGTGAGTGAGTGAGTGAGTGACTGAGTGAGTGAGTGACTGAGTGAGTGTGCGTGTGTGCGTGTGTGCGTGTGCGAAAGCTCTCAGAAAGCTCTCTCGCCGAGGCTTACCTGTTTGTGCTCGTTTGCACTTGTTTGCAACTGTTACAGCTGCGTCTCACACTGCTGCGATGTCGCGTGCGTTGTGCGCTGTGTCCCTGCAGCCTCGCGGTTTGTCGTGTACTCGTCACCGCTCACAACAGAAGCAGTGACAGCAGGCAGCGATGACAAAACAGAGGCGCGTGCTACAAGCACAATCTTGGAGAAGGGCAGCGGAGGCCGCCTGTTGCAGCAGCGTGGTGGCAGTGACGACGACGACGACGACGATGATGATGATGATGATGATGATACTGATGGCCGTGGCAGCACATGGGATGATGACGACCTCGACGTTCCCCGGCGTTCTCGTCGCGTTCCTTCAGTTGTGTTGCATGTACAGCACGCAATGGACACAACGCTGGATGATGTGGGCCTGCAACAATGGCGTGGTGGACTGCTCATGATGGACTGGGTGACACACATGCGGCACGCCATGCGCGGGTGCCGGGTGCTTGAGCTGGGCGCTGGTGTGGGTGCCGTCAGCATCGTCGCTGCCCACTTTGGGGCCAAGGTGCTGTGCACAGATATTGGACAAGACGTGCTGGACAACTGTCGTGCGAATGTGAAAGCACACGCTGATGCGATACCAAGCGGCGGCAGCATTGCCGTTCGTGAGCTTGACTGGAACCGTGTGGACCGCACTACCGGTTGGAGCGAAGATGATGCGCACACACTCAAACACACCGACATTATCCTGGCCGCTGACGGTCAGTCCAGATGGATGTGTGTGTGTGTGTGTGTGGATGTGTGGATGTGTGTGGATATTGCCTGGTAGCGGATCCTACTGTATCCTCCGGGGGTGTGCTAGAGTCATGTGTGTGTGTATGTATGCATACGTGTGTGCGCGTGCGCGCATGTGCGCGCGTGTGTGGGTGTGTGTGTGTGTGTGTGTGTGTGTGTGGATATGCTTGCGTACGTTTGTGTCAGTGAACGTGTGTGCCTGTGCGTGCTCATATGTTTGTGTGCTTGTGTGTGTGTGTGTGTGTGCCACTCAATTCAAACGCACGGCTGCTCTCTCTCTCTCTCACACACACACCCACACACACACACACACACACACACACACACACACACACACACACGCACGCACAACCACCTGTGGGCAGTTGTGTACATCGAAGGGTGGACGGAAGCTTTTGTCGAATGCGTTCGTCGCCTCTTTGCTTCCACAACGGCGCGTGTTTGCTACGTTGCGCTCGAGAAACGGTGCGTGGTGTGGACCTGTGCGGACCTGCGTGTGATTGCGTGGTCATGTGTGCGCATGTTGCAGTTCCGTGCTGGCCAAGAGTGGACAGCCCACCCCGCCATGTCATTCACACACACACGCGCACACAATGGAGCAGACTGTGCTTTCGTTGGAGGAGCTTGATGTTGCGTGTCCGGCGTACACGCATTTCCACGACATCTGCCTGGCCTCTGCGTCCTTTCACTGCAACCAAATACCGCTTCACGCCATCCCCCAGCACGTGCCATACACGCGCATCCCACAGCTGGTGTGTGTGTGTGAGTGAGTCTGTGTGTGTGTGTGTGTGTGTGTGTGTGTGTGTGTGTGAGTGAGTGTGTGTGTGTGTGTGTGAGTGTGTGTGTGTGTGCGTGTGTGTGCATTGGCGTTTTGATTGTGGGTTGCTTGCCCGTTGATAGGCTCACGTTTCAGCACCCACGACACGCGCGTCTTGCATGATGACAGGAACTTTGGGAAATCAAACCTCGGTCATCATGATTGCAGCAGGAACCTGACCGCACAACACATACATACAAACATACACACACATGCTCCTGTGTAATTAACTTGCTGCGTCCTTCATCGTTTACTAATCGAATTGAATGACCACGAACGGCAGCAAGCAATCGAGCGAGCGCGAGACACAACACAACACAAAACACATGAGAGCATTCCACACTAACCCAACAACAACAACAACAACAACAACAACAACAACAGGGTACACACGCACAAGGCCAAGCGTTACTTCACCATTGATGCCTAGCCCTCATTGCTCCTCATCATCATCACCGCCTTGTTTTGCCTTCTTCGCGGGCGCATCGCCATCACCACTCGCCCGCTCGCCCGCGTCCGCTTTATCTGCACCCTTCGATGCCGACGACGACGTTGATGATGACGTCGTGTCGTCCTTCTTGTCGGTGTTGCCGCCTTTCTTCTGCTTGCTCATGCTCTTTGTTGCCTCTGCTCTCCGCGCCTTCTCCTTCTCCTTATCTTCCTCCTCCTTCATCTTCGCCTGCATCTTGCGCATCTTTGCACGTTGCCTGTGTGTGTGTGTGTGTGTGTGTGTGTGTGTGTGTGTGTGTGAATGCAAGGAGAACGAACATAACATTCCAGCTGTCGGGAGCACAGGGCAACGCCGCGTCAGCAGCCCGAGTTTGGGAGTAGAGCAAGTGCACACCTCTTCTTCCTGTTCTTGGATGTCTTGGCGTTCGCCTCTTGTTGTGCTGCCTGCATTTTCAGTTTGAAAAGCTCCTCCTTCTCATCCTGAAGGTGGCAACAACACGACGCAAGACGAACGATAACCGTTCACATACAAAGGCCCACGAGTCAGTGCACCATGGCAAAAATCACTTGCTGAGGTTCTGCTTGGAGTGCTTGCTGTTGAGGTTGTTGTGTTTGATGTGCACATCGTGGCAGCAGCTAGACGACAAACGCGAGCAAACAGGCCGGTGGTGCAGGCGAACCTCAGCCTTCTTTGCTTCAATGTATTCCAATCGTGACAGCTCGCGGCGCTTGTTGT